TGGTCATTTAGTCAAAGTTTGACTTGCTGGTGGTGCTAGAAGAAAATCAGGGGTTGCCCAAAGTCACTAGGATTTATCCTCTGGGGAATATAAATGTCAGTTTCCATATTTCGAAGCATTTTGTTCAATAGATGTTGAGATATTAATGTCTGGACCAAAGTGGTGGACCAAGCAATAGGCTAACACCGCTAGCATGGCTCAAAAATAGCTGGTATAGTTTGATAATAGTTTGTTGCTTGTGATACTCTAAAGTAGCTAATACATTTTTTTCTTTAATCGTAACTAACTAACACTTATCAATTACCTCAATATGTGACCTTAAATACACCCAGTAATTTGTGTCTCACAGTTGTTCTACTAATAAACCTGTTTTATTGTCTGGTATCAACGCAACGCTATGCCTACATTAAACAGGCACAAGCAGGCCTGAATATTTTACATTCTCCTGCACCGTTTTTAATGGGATTTTGATGTGTTGCTTATGGATTTTTGAGATACACTTTAGCACTATGAAGCTAGCACTGGTAATTTGCTCACCTTTGACCTTTAAATGGCAATATAATGGGAGAAATCAGTTTGGATTCCAAGGAGGATGACTGTACTAAAAAAAAGTGGCCACCTGATAAATATTTGCCATCAAATGCATCTGTGTGCACCCTGGGTTTATTCTTGGAGGTACACCTGATGCATGCTGGTCTGCTGGCTAACAGATTGTGTAGTCTGACGGTGAAATAGAGTGTAACCCTGCGTGCCTGAGGATGCAGGTGTATCTGTTACATGGATTGTTGTCGTTCCTTTCTTTCAACTGAGGTGTTGATATTTAATTCATTGAAAAAAACCAAGAGCGTGAAAATAGTCAGTAGTGCACACACACACTTTGATCAAGATGTGTCCGGTAGCAAGACTGTTGCTTTTAGAGAAAGAGTGAGCATCCAGCCCTTCCCTACTGTCATCACAGTGCGTTCAGTTGGATTGGTGCTGATTAGGGAGGCTTAAGCACCTGGCAGACAGCACCCTCGGAGCCGGAGAGAACGTCTCTGCAACATGGCTGTCTGCCTCGCGGGGCAAAACAAGAGCGAGGGGCAAGTTAGGACAGGGACGTAAGGTGTGTGTGTGGGGTATTTGCATCTGTTTGATTCCCATGAAGCCGGAGTCCCATCACGTCAGCGTCTGTGTTAATGTCTGTGTGTGGTGCTAAATCTGTTGCTCTTTACATTTGAACTACATTCTGAAGCGGTGCAACGTGTCTTTCCTTCTACTCCCCCTTCTTTCTGTCATTATGGCCGTTTAGCACATGACGCTACCAGAGATCATCACAAAAAGTGATATGTTGTCCATTGCTTTTGTAGTAAATTGAAATATCTAACAGAAAGCTGTAGCCACCTAGGACAGTGTGGTCAGTGTGTTTTTTCTGGGAATTTAAGTAACCCGGGGCTGGATTTTAAAACAAGGCTGATATCAGAATCTGTAACTCGAATAAAGTTACATTTGACCTAAGGATTCAGGATTTTCTGCGTAAACGTAATCAAGAACTTTAACTAATAAATACACTTTGAAAGAGACTAAGACTTGTCCTGATCTTTTTACAACAGGCTGTTGGCCATAGATAAACTGTTGATCGTAGGCTAGGTGCTAAAAAGGTTTAGTAAATGTTAAATGTTGTAATTTTGAAGCCTTGCTTTTTTAAATAAACAGAAAAAAGGGTTAATAAACCCTTACTATTCATGGTCTTACTTTCTCAATCTTTATCAATTCAAAGATCAGTGCTCATTATTTTGAAATTGGTATTCATAGCTAAATTGTACAATATATTACCATGGTTGCGTATCATAAACACACTTCATCGCCGACTGTGTCGCTGGTTGTAATTTGTTAGTAGGTGACGCAACATGTCTCCTGAAGCCCTTCTGTCTCTGTTTACTGCCAAAACAGTACATATTTTCACATTTGCCAACAGATCTTTGCCTATTTAAAAATGCTCTACTTTAATTCCACCATTAGTTACATGTCAGAAATGTAATGATAATTCATTATGATTCCCACAAAGAGCATTTCTTCAACACGTTGTTTTTCACGAGGGGCTGAAACAGATAACTTAGATCTGATCACGCAATATCAAATCCATAGGATTAATCTGTTTATCCAAATCCACGCTGTAAACATCAGTTTGCTGTTCATAAATAATCACAACCAGCCTGTCAATATCGCCGGCTTCAGTGACAGATGGTATCTTTAATATGTCAGTGATTAATTTGTACACAATAACAATGTGACCACAGAACCAGTGATAACATGACCCCTCGTTAACGTGTGGCCGGCCCCACCCGTCACTCCGGCGGACTGTGTGCTGTCATGGTAACCAGATAAGTGTTGTCCCACACTGACTTCACCCCACACATGCATATCAACTTTCTGTTTACATCCAGAGGTTGAAGCCTCCACTTAAGTGGTGAAATGGTGATCTTTTTTTTCCACTCGTTGCTATGGGCTGCTTACACACATATGGTTCATTTCTTTTCTTTTCTTTTGTAAACTGCTTTTGTCTTGAGTCACTAGGTAGCATCACGGCCATGGGAATGTTTTCCATTTGTTCAGATGGCATACATTCCTCGTCATGTCTGCTCCGCACACCAGGAAGTGACAAAACCCCCTTAGCCGCAGTTTGAAGTGCTCCAAACAGAAGAAATAGTCAACACAAGTTTGCCCTAAAAACCGGTTAAAAAGGTGTTAAATGCTCAGATCTTTAAATTCATCTTTATACAGCAGCTCTAGATTAACTGAGTTATTTAGGTCTTTCATTATCAAATCTGAGGCAATGCTGCAGCCCTCTTTCCAAACATGTTTTTAATCTTGTTTAAAGAAATAGAATCTTTTAATTCGCTTACTCCCCCTTGTGGCAAAAACAATACAATTATATGTCCCATAATAAATTGTGAGGAAGTATACACATTTGGGGTGTTAACGTAGTACTTCAGTGAAAATGTTGTATAATCTAACAAAGGAGTGTTGTGTTGTTTATTTCCAAAACTGGGGCTCAAGTGACGCTCTATACCTCCAAAATCCCTGACAACAGCTTTCCCTTCCCTTCAATGTTTACATGTATGATCTCATTTTGATCTGTGCCCTGACTGACCAATCCGGGGCGAGCGTGCCCACGGATGGGGGGCAACAGTGGGATGCTGGGCAGCGAGTGGGGGAGACCTAGTAGAGAGAGCTGGCAGGAATTAGGCTGCTGAGGATTAGTCTGAGCTCTGATTGTCTGTTGGCTGTAGAGGCCTTCAACGCTCTGCATGGACCTAAAAGGAAAACAACAACTTGATCAAAAAGAGAGACTCTCATCCTGCCGTGATCAGGAGTGATTTTACCAGGATGTTTTTCAAACTGACGGATTTGATCTAGATCATATTTTTCTTCCTCTTTCTTTAACCCAACGTTGGCCTAGTTTCAGCGTACTTTTGGAGCACTTTACTTGAAACTATGGTACTGCTTCTGACTAATAACTCTCGTACGAATTACTACTGCTTACCAACTCTCTTCAGGAGGAAAGGTGAGTCCGAACACCACACTTAGCAGATAACATTAGATTTGTTTATGACTTTATTGCTTCCTTCCTGATTGTTGAAACTGCTTTTCAAGTATGACCCAGACTGGCTGGATCCACTTGCTCCCATAGAGGCAGTAAAGTAATCTAATTGTGGTCATTTACTATCACTGTGGACCATAAAAACTACTGTCAGTTTGTTATCTCTTCTACTCTGATATGCTGTGATTTCTAGTCTCACTCTTGCAACTAACACTTGCTTTAAAATAGAATAAGGTAACTAGAATTTTACATATTTATAGATAATTGCTTATTGGGAGCAACTCTAATGCTGTTACAAAACAGACAGTGGTAAAACGATCAGTGAGCACATGGCTAGCTAATTGCAGCATGGTCTTACACGACAGAGCGGACAGTAGAGTACAGTGGGTGGCTAAGTGTGGAGCAGCTGAGACCATTACATAAAAGTGTCTTAGCAGGTTGTTAGGCCAATGATCCCAGACTGAGTCCTGGGAGCGTGTGAGCACCACATAAATCCTAGAGTTCAAAGGCATGCCTGTTGGTCAGCAAATCTTAAGCTACTGTAACGTCAGGTTTTTATTTTTATCTTGGTTTCTCTCAAGTGTCTGACTTTGAAGTCCTTTTATAATGCAAACATGACCGTGATCAACACAGAATTCTTCACAAGCCACAATAGTGCTCATGGTACATGCTGAATTTCAGGTGTCTTATAATTGGTTAACAAAAGGTTGAACTGGTACATTTTGCATGAACAAGATTTGACTGTAATTTATTTAGTTTAATTTACATTGTGTAATGTAATGATACTTTGGCTCCAAGAAGATTTGCAATACTGAGCATATTACTTGACGGTGGATTTTTGTGACGTGAAAATCGTTGTAGACAACATACCAAAGACAAGGATTATTAAACAAACAAACAAACAGTTCTTAACATACTTTATACATATTACCATTTCCTTGCAATAAAGTCACCAATATAAAACACAATATAACACTCTACAGTGGACACCTGCACTTTAGGAATAACAGCTAACAATAATCCTTTTAGAGCAATATCCCTAAAATGATGTAACCATTGTTTTATCAATTAAGGCTGTATATTAAGGCTAATTACTGTCTTCTCGAGAGCAGTTAAACCTGCAAATATGATTTTCCTACCTGGTGCCGGATAGATTTTTAATATGATAATCCTTTCCTAAAAGTCACTGTACTGCACTGGAGTTTAATCCTGCGTGAGGATTAGGAAGTTCAGCCTTTTTAATCGCACATTCTCGTGTAATTAACCGTCAAACAATCGACTGTACTTAAATGTTTCTGGCAGACACCTGAAGGACCTCACCCTGGCCATATGGCCCCCTTTATCTACTGTAACAGTAACACACAGCTTTTAGTTGATCCAGGCTGATCCCCTCTCTCCTCTCTCTCTCTTCCTCAAGCTGTCCAAAAGCGAGATGACAATGACAAGACCCCGGCCCCCCCGCTGTTACAGGAGAATGTCTTCATCGAGGCCAGCAGGCCCGAGTACTTGGAGAACCTCCACACTGAGGCCCTGGAGGGACTGAAAATGATGCAGCAGGAAGGTACAAAGCGCTCTAGTGACTTAGTCATACACATGTGCAGTCAATTAGAGGTGTGCCAACTGTTTGCATATTGCTCAAGAGGGTGTGCACCACAGGATATTAACACTGCTTAGAATTTTAATTGCTAATATAATATTTCTCTCTTGTGCAGAAACCAATAATGGAATGGAGTTCCAGGACAACATGAGCACAATTGTAAGTGACACATCTTACCTAGAATTGCCTTTTTTTACTCACAATTACCCAAAACACAATGTACAGATTTTTTTTAACAAAAGATTGTCTCTCCTTTTTGCCAGTCGAACATGACTGTCCAAACGGATGGGGAAGGGTTTATGACAGACAGCACTATTGCTGACTCATCTTCTGTCGTCTCTGTACAATCATCTGTGTCCACGAGGTCCTCCCGCTCTGGTCTCACCAGGCAAGGTAACTTAACCACAACCGTAAAATGCTATTACTACCTACTTGAAAGTACATATTTTATACAACATATGATGATGCACACATATACATTTACAGATAAAACATGTCATTGGTGAGATTGCAGGTTGTTTCATCATGATGTTTTTCTAATGTTTCTCTCTTGCCTCTGTCTGCCCAGGGTCAACATTCAGGCCCTTGAATCATGGGAAAAAGTCAGAAAAGACCAAGTCGAGGAGAAAACACAGGAAGACTGTCGGGGGAATCCCACAGCATGTTCAGAGAGAACTGGGTATGCAGCTAATCATAACTTACAAAATACATGCATCTATACATTTCTTTTTCAATTGTATGTGCTGCATTTAAAATGATATCAAAGGTGGTTATGTTACTGCAGGGCTATACATTTATATTGTTTAGACGGCCACTTTTGACCCACCTCACCTCTTTCTGTCCTTTTTAACCAACACCTTCTTTCTTTTTCCTAGTTTGTGTTTATAGTGCATTTCTGTTATAGATACGCTCCATACACATATTCTCTTCAAAACATAAGATGAGAAGAGTTATGCTCCTCACAAATAGTCTGTGTTTTAATTTTAAAATGTGGGAGAAAACTTTGGCTGGAGTGTCCGCAAACAAATGGAATTTTCCCAGATGTATTTATTCTTTAGGTTTGAAATTGTATTCATGGATACAGCCAATTGAATAAGCCTGTGTTACTGTCTTCTATCTTGAAAAAATAGATGATAGATTGTTTCTCTGTGCGTTCATTTCCTAAATAATAACTATGAACTTGTCTTCTCTCATCAGGTCTGGACAGAGTGGGTTGGTCACTGACTCAGAGGTTAGATGAGGAGCATCTTTATAATGGTGAATCTGACGACAGCCCGACAGCCTATAGGCCTCAGTCACAAACCAGAGCTGGTGCTAGCCTTCAGGACATGAGCCTCATCCATCCCCTCCACAAACACCATCTCGAGCGGCTCGGTGCCCCCAATGCTGGTCATAGGGATGACCTGGCCCTGCTGAATCACCTGGGCCCCGAGCTGTCAGATGGGCAGAGGCCTCACTCCATGGCCGTTCCCGGTATGACCACTTCTAACAGCCTCCAGCCGGAGCTGCCCAGCCCCGTCATGTCCATGTCCCCCCAGGCACCCTACATGTCCAAAATCATTCCAAATGCTGTGTTGCCACCCTCCATCGATGTGGTGGAAATCAGCCGTGGACGGAGTCGCAACAGCGTGCGCACCGTCAGCAAGAGCAGCCTGGTGATGTCCAGCCCGGCCTCCTCCAGGGCTTCCTCCAGAGCCTCTTCCTCCAGAACCTCTTCCTCCAGAGCCTCCAACATCACCTCTGTCTCCCGCAACTACCCTCACAATATGTCCGACAGCTCTTGTTGGAGCAACTCTGAGTCCTCAGACACCTTGGTATCGGACTCCTCCACCATCTCCAGCAGCAGCACCCCTAGACAGAAGAGGTCCCAGGATGGAGATGCTAAAGAGGACAAAATCAGTGTTCACTCCTCCATCAGCAGGGCTTCAAATTGCAACTCCAATGGCAAGCTCATTGTTAAAGGAGACGAGGTTAAGAAGGAGGCGCCGTTTTCACGTAGCCTCTCCGTCATGAAGCCCAAGAGGGCTCCTCCTCCTCCGAGCCGCACCTTTTCCCTCCACAATAAGATGAAGCGGCGGTCCAGGGATCTGGCAGAAGTTAGGGTCAACTCAAGGGAATCCTCTCTAAATAACACCTCAGCTTCAGGTGAGGAAGATGAACAAAATAAATTGGATACTTCGCCCTCCAGCCCTGGATATACCGCTGACACCAGTTCACTGGAGGACTCTACAGGCTCTGTGTCATTTAGCCCCATCAGATCTCAGGTGGAGGCCCGAAAATCAGAGGAAGCCGAAAGAGCGAAAGACTCTTCAGAAGAGAAGAAGGATCCGGAGAATACACTTAGTAGAATAGTCTCTCCATCCAGTGGCTACTCCAGCCAAGAAGGCACATCCACACAGGTTTCCAAAGAGTCCCACAGCCCATCTCCGAGGCACAAGAGAGGCATCTTCGCAAAGTTTCAACGGTTATTTCCTGGGTCTGGTTCAACGCCACCTCCTCTCCGTGAGGAACTCAAACCTGTCACCACAGTTGAAACTGGCGGCCCTTCTGTAAGGGCCTTGAGGGAACTCTTCAACATCCCTCCGCCACCTAAAATCCACGCACCTCCACCGCCTCCTCCAGAGGTGTGGGCTCACAGCAAGCGCTCATTTGAGCTGCTGCTGGGACCCCCGGCGCCTGATAACCTTTACGCCATCATAAAGAGAAATCCAAAGGACAGGAGACCACAGAGGCAGTCTCCTTCTGCATCTGCAAAGAATCTGAATGTAACAGTGGAGTCCATTAGCGGAGCCCTCCGTGTTCTGGAAACAAAGAAAGGTCAAGAAAGTGGGATTTTGAGTGCAGAGGTTCACAAAGAGAACCTCGACAGACTGGCTGAGCAGAACGTTGATTCGAAAGGAAATGGGAAAGAGACAGAAAAAGAGGAGAAAGTGAGAGCAAGTGACATAGTAAACAGCATGTTAGTGAAGGCCGTAGAGAAGCGCGAAGGAAGGCTATCAGTAGTGAGAGAAGAAGAGGTCAAACCGGCATCCACACAAGACACAGATGTAAAGACTCACATGGATACCTTAACCACCATTTCATTAACACGCATTACTCCATCTCCCTCTCCTCCTCCGGCGCACCACCCTCCCCAACCCCCAACCCCATCAGTCGTTGTGTCCCCCGAGGCCTCCTGGCCCCCACCGCCTCCACCAATGGCAAAAGTGGGCCTCAATGGGCCTGATGATGTTGACTTCCCTCTTCCGCCTCCCCCCATGTTCGGTGAGGTGGGGTTCGTGTTACCTGTTCAGGTGCCACAGGAGAACTCCTCTTCTGGTGGTGGCTCCACGTGTACAACTACGTCCGTTATATCAGTGGTGATCACAGACTCTGACCCACAGAACCCAAGCACACACCAGGGACCTCCACCCCTGAATATCCCACCTCCCCCACCATACACGGCTCCCCCTCCACCAGTTAATGTAGTGTCCCCCGCTACAATCAAAAAGGTCTCTTCTCCACTGCTACCTAAACAAGTCACTCCACCACCACCTAAAGTAACTTCCCCTCCGCCCAAATCTAAGGATATTCCTCCTCCGCCACCACCCAAAGAAACTTCCCCTCCAACACCACCTAAGCATGTTTCTCCTCCGCCACCACCTAAAGAGGTTTCTTCTCCACCACCACCTAAAGAAACTTCCCCTCCAACACCACCTAAGCATGTTTCTCCTCCGCCACCACCTAAAGAGGTTTCTTCTCCACCACCACCTAAAGAAACTTCCCCTCAGACACAACCTAAGCAGGTTGTTCCTCCGCCACCACCTAAAGAGGTCTCTTCTCCACCACCACCTAAAGAGGTCTCTTCTCCACCACCACCTAAAGAGGTCTCTTCTCCACCACCACCTAAAGAGGTCTCTTCTCCACCACCACCTAAGAAGGTTTCTCCTCCACCATCACCTAAAAAGACATCCCCTCCAACACCGCCTAAAGAAATGTCTCATCAACCATCGCCTAATGGTGTTTCTCCTCCATCACCACCTAAAGAAACGTCCCCTCCGTCACCACCTAAGGAGGTCTCTTCTACACCACTCAAAGAAATTACTCCTCCGCCCCTTGTGAAGGTTACTCCTTTGGAACCAAAGGAGGCCCCCCCTGCTCACGTCAATGAGGTCTCCAGCACACTGGTGACGGTGGTATCTCCTCCACCAGTTATCGAGGTCTCCGCTCCACCAGGTCCTGAAGACATATCCTGTCTGTCCACTGAAGAAGTGTCTCCTCCATCTGCTCAAGAGAAGGCCTGTCAATCTTCTGAGGAGGCCACACCTGTTAAGAGCTTTACTCCACCACTAAGTATTCCTCCTCCACCTTCCCTACCGTCACAGCCAAATCCACCAGTGAAAGAACTTGATCTGCCCGGAGAAAGCTCCGTGGTTGAATCTGAAACTATCTCAGTTTCATATCACAGTACTCTCACTCCCCCTCAGAGTATTCCCCCTCCGCCTCCTATACAGCTTCTCCTCCACCCTCAGGTTGTACCCCTGAACACCCATGGTCCAGCGACCCAGGAGCCCTCCCCTTCCCCAGAAGTCTCTATCACACCAGAAAAGGCAGAAGAACCTGCTCCTTCTCCACCTGTAAACATTCCTTTAGCTCCACCTTTACCTTTGCAGGGCCTTGCCAGCATTAAGGAGCAGCCTAGTCCTGTAAGCACAGAGAACCAAACCCCGGAGCCGACCTCTGCCCCCGCTGCACAGGAGGGACCCTCCCTCATTGTCAGCCCCTCCCTTCTGGAGATGGTCAAGCTGCGGTCAGTCAGCAGCAGCCCTGAGCCTCCTAAGGAGCCAGCAGCGGTGGAGGTTACCATGAGGAAGCAGCAGCCCAGCAACCCTGCCCCCCCCCTCATCTGCCAGTGGTGAGGCTCCTCAGAAGCCCATCAGAAGGTCTCTGATAATCCTCTCACCACCAACCACATATTCACCACCAACCACATCTTCACCCCCTGCCTCCCCCCCTGCCACAGACACTGAACAACTAGCTCTGCCAGAGACCCATTCTGTTTTGGTACTGCCTGCCTCCCCAACCCCAGCGAAAAGGTCTCCACCTGCCATGACGGCCTCTCCTTCCATGAACCTGCAGGAGGCCATCCGCCTGAGGACAGCGGCCAGATCAAAAACCGGCCCCGCATCCCGCCTCAGTTTGAACTCCCCAACGTCGCCAAAAGACCCCCAAAAGTCCCCCTGCAGCACAGCAAGCTTTATCTTCTCCAAGAGCAACAAGAGGGTGGTGATCGAGACCAAGCCGGCACCGGAGGACATGGCCACCGTACAGAAGGTGGCAGGCGAAGCGAAGTGGGTCAAGAAGGAAGTTAAGGTGCCACCACCCGTTGCAAGGAAACCAAAAACGAAGGGGAAAGAGATTGAGGACAGTGAAGGGACGGAGCAAACTGCAGGACAGGAAGCACTGCAAGACGGTGTCAAGGGTAAGAGAGATTATTCAATACAAAATATTGGGAGTTGGACTGGAAATGATAAACAAGTCTCAAAGTCTATACAGTCTCTGAAACGCTTTACTTCTGAACAGCAATCTAATGAGATAGATGCTAACGTCAGCATGCTAAAATGCTATACACCATGCTTCCCACATTCATATCATTTCGACCTTAATACTCTCAAAATGTATTCCAGGTCAGCGATCATTTTAATAAATTCAGCTAATTTAAGAAGATACACAGTTTGTTTTGACCTGGTTTCACTTTTGTAATAAATGCCTCTATACGTAACAGCTAAAGCAGCTCAAGCAGCTCATATAGGTTTATGATAATGTTTAAATCCGTTTTTTATTTTATGATGCAACTTTTCTGCATTTCATTAAACTGACTATTTTTCTTGTCCAACCTCAGATGCTACGGAGAAAACGAATGGGACAGCAGGTACTGTTGAAGGAGGAGAGACGCCATCCACATGATTGTAAAGACTGAAGGAGACCTGGGAAGGACTTACCAATAACACTGAATCTGCTGCAAGGTCTTTGTTTGAGAAGCAAGACACTGGATTTGGATGGATGAGATGCTTATCTCAAGGATTGCATTTGTAAAAGTTCTGGATTTTAAAGGAAATCCTCCGACTTTAACGTTAATGGTGTGGGTCTTCATTTTCTCAAGTTTGCATTTTACCAAGAATGAATACAGCATATTTTCTTTTGCCAGAGGTGCTTCTGAGCTTTCCGTTGCACGAGATGGGAATATACCGCCCTCTAGTGTCACACATCGATTCTGCCACGTATGTCCTGCTGAATCAGTTTTAGATGTAACAATGGGACTTTTGGGCGCTCATCTGTAAATATAGCATGATTTTGTACATTCAACATATCCAGCATTGATGGATCTGTTCTACAGAGTTCTGTTCTATATTTTCTCCAAAACGGTTTCCACAGCAATTATATTTGTTAAAAAGTATTAATTATCTTAAGTTATTTGTTTCCCGTTTTCATATTCAGAGGAGGGTCTCCACAGACAGAATTTGTGTTAAACCTGTTTTTAAAAACATCATTTAAAATCAAGTTTGTTTGTATCGCTTAATCATGTCCAAATATGTGTTCTCTAAAATCCCACGTGTCCTTTTTTATGATTAAAAGCTCTTTGTGGGTGACGGTGAGATGTCACAGAACCAATGAGCAGACCTGCAAAGCAATATATTTTCTGCTGCTTTTAGTTACTGATAATGGAGGCTTTGCCCTTTCTCAGTTAATGCTCAACAGTGGGATATTTCTGTATTGAACTATAATATATTTCTAACTGGTTTCAGACACTGTATTGTAATAAATCATTTATAATGGAAAGAATAAAGATTTATGGACGGATCAAATCGTCAAATGGACTGATGAGCTTCTTTTTTTTCTGATATTGATTGTTGCAATTTTTAGTTTCAGCTTTTCTTAAGCCTCAGGTATATGGCATTTCAGAGTTCATTTCATTTCAAACCTTTATTTATCCAGGTGTATCCCATTGAGATAATTGATCTCTTGTTCAAGGGAGACCTGCTCAAGCAGGTTCCACATGAAACAAACGGAACAACAAAAAGGACATCATACAGCATCATTACAGGGATTACAATTTACATAACTATCCACATGAACAGGTACCAACAGCTTCCGATTGAGTAGCATCCAACCGAGCTTTAAAAACATTTAGTGGCACCAGATTGCTCAGTTTCCATTTCAATTGCAGACTATTCCAAGACAGTGGAGCTGCGCATCTAAATGCTATCTTCCCTAAGACAGTCCTAGCAGTTGGCACATTTAATAAAACCACAGCATGCAATCTCAGGCAGTCGCCACTTACAATTCGCCGTGAGATCAGGGAGCAGATGTAGGATGGAAGTTTCCCTAACATGGCTTTGTATATAAAAATGTACCAGTGACTGAGCCTCCGTACAGTTAGCGAAGGAAAACCAGCCCTTGCATACAGGGTACAGTGATGAGTTAATGCTTTACAGTTTGTCACAAATCTCAGTGCACTGTGATACGCAGCATCTAACTTGACCAGGCAATTGGCAGGTGCATTCATATAAATCAAATCACCATAGTCCAGCACAGGTCAAAAGGTCACAGTGACTAGCCTTTTTCTGGCCTCAAGCGAGAAACAGGACTTGTTCCTGTAGAAGAAACCTAGCCTAACCCTCAGTTTTTTAAGCAGGTTATTGACATGACGTTTAAAAGTGAGACAGTCATCAAGCCAGATACCAAGGTATTTGTAACAGGTAACCACTTCAAGTTTTATTCCTTGCGTAGTTACAATATCTAAAACAGGCTCTGGTGTCTTTTTAGCTTTTGAAAAGAGCATTACCTTGGTTTTATCAACATTTAAATGAAGCTTTAGTTCAGAGAGCTGAGTCTGAATAATGTTAAAAACACCTTGCAATTCAACAACAGCCTCCTTAATGGAGGGACCTGCACAGTACATAACGGCATCGTCCGCATAAAAATGTAAGGTTGCTCCATCGACATTTTCACCTAAACTATTGATGTAGAATAAAAGTGGACCTAAAACAGAACCTTGAGGAACACCATTAGTAATGTTTAACCACTCAGAAGACAGCCCATCAAAATGAACACATTGGGACCTTTCAGAGAGGTAGTTCACAAACCACCCTACTGCATGGCTGACATCAATGTTGAAGATCAATACAAATCTTCCAATGACATTTAAACATTGAGAACTTAAGTTCCTGCTAAGCATGTTTTTCATTTATGACAAATCCATCAGCTGCATTTTCATGTTTTTTATTGATATAAATCAGAATATCCTACTATCATGGGGGTTACAGTCTTTGAGCAGAGTACTGATCGATCCATTGACCCAATGCTACCTCCATGGGAAATACCAGGTCCTCTCTCCATCATCTACTAAATCTTCTAGACTGTCGTCGTCCTCCCACTCCTCCTCCATCATCCTCTCATGCTCTTCACCTCCACGCTTCCTCTCCTCCATCATCCTCTCATGCTCTTCACCTCCACCTGTATGCTTCCTCTCCTCTTCCTCACTTTCAGAAGCCGGCAGCCGTGACTCTCTCTGTGGGACGACTTGTGATGTGAAGATTTCCTCCAACTGCTCCCAATGACGTAAGACTTCAGCCTCCTCCTGATTCCAATGGGTCTCATCTTCTCCTCCTTCAAAGTCCTCTTCCCTCTCTTCTAGCACTACAAACCCTGACCCATCCTCTTTTAACTGATGTGAATCCTTCACCTTAGACTCAACTGAAACCCTGTCCCTAAATCCTAACTCCTCTGAATCAGCTTCAGGCATCACTCCAAGGATAAACCCACTTTCTTCTTCATCCTCTTCCTCCTCTTCTTCTTCTTCTCCATATGCGTAGTCTAGCTCTTCGTCGTAATCATCATCGTCGTAAGTCACTACATCATCACTTTCCAGCGGGGTCTCTTGACTGTGCAGCTTATCGGTGTCTTGTATCGTGGCATGGCCGACTCCGCTAATGCCGACTCCGCTAATGCCGACTGGTAGAAGGTCATCTTCTGTCGTGTACGGCTGATCAGAGACCAGCAAAGACCCACTGCTGGTAAAACCTGAAACATAAAGTTAAAAGTAGAAATGTGTTATTATCACTTTCATTTTAAACTGTATACCCCGGTTATCTAGGCTCTTTGTTTTGTTTAATGTATACCACGTTTATCTAGGCCCTTTTTGTTTTGCTTTATGTACATGTCACACTGTGGGACTGTGGGAAACGATATTTCGAGATTTCTGGATGTATAACACATGTCGAATTTTTGACAATAGACTTTGACTTTGATAACTTAAGGCAAGACATTAAAAAATCCTTTTCGCATAACCTGGTCAATTTTGAGAGATTGGGATGTGTTGCTTCCATAACGTGCCTTTCTCTAAAAACGAGTTGAAATAAAAACTTCCAAAAATACACATGTAGGTGTTTATTTTACTTTATTTCTTTGTGTCCTAAAGTCACCAAAAGTTAGCGGAGCATTTTCCTAAAGAGTAATTTCCTGAGATATCTCAACTTCACTTACAGTTATAACTTTTTACTTGAATTCTCATCTATATTCCGAAGGATTGTACAGAGGGGGTATCGCTATCCTCATTTATATTTCATTTTATTCCTAAAAACATGTCAAATATTAGATTTAGATTTTTGGAGTGATATCGAACATTTCCTCTGTAAAAAAACCTTTAACTACTATTGTGTCGATATAATTAAAAACATGTTAACACCTATGGTTTTATCCAAATGGTCACAATGCGCACTTTTCTTGATAACGCCTCATTTGCTTTGTCAAACATAAACATATTGTCTTAATGCACGTAAACATCTGTAGGGTGTCCATTCTCCCATTCCACTTTTGGTGGGTCATAAGATAATTGTAAGCTAGTGATATAAACATGTTTAGTGCCACTTAAAGTTACCACAACAATCCAATACATCCGAGTAGGAATGGGTGCATATACTATACACGTCTTAAAACAACAAAAAAGACAAACCTTCCATCATGGCCCTCTGGAGTTTAGAGGGCACACACTGTGAATCACAGCAGTCACATATGGACTTGTCACCAGAGAGGGCCTTCCACCTGTCATGGCAAATGCAACACAAATATTCTCAATCCATATGGAAACAGGTGAAAGACTACAGTCCTGTAATGGAAATGTAGTTTAAAGTGCCAAAACTCACCTGTCCTTTTTGTAGGTGCATGATTTGTGAGCAGGACCCGGGTCTTCAGATGAGACTAATAACTTGCAGTGAATATTAATCTAAAAAAGAAACTGGGTTAAGCCACGGCTAAAGAATAACTCGGAGAATCCAGAGAATTATAAATCACACTCACCTCCGAGTCAGGGTCTGCAGTGAACTGGAAGGCCTGGATGGAGAATCTCAGGGTCTTGTCTGTCCGAGAGACGAACCGAGACGCCCCCGGGTCGCTCTTACTGTCCAGCATACAGCTATGGACAACAACAATATGACACTAAAGAACCCAAAGCAAAATATTTGTCTAAAAATGCACTACCGTCCACTTTTCTCACCCAAAATTGCCAATGATGCTGTATTTGAGGGATGATTTAGAGTCACTGGATGGTGAAGCATAGCAGCTATTGATGTACAGTTTTGAACCAGTTGAGAGATGAGGTGCAGAGATCTGGAAATTAACCGTCTTTCCAAGCTGGTACACCTGTGACTGGGCAGGTGTGCTCCACAAATCTAAAACATAAATATATCAAATAAGATGGGGCCAGAAGCTCTTTATTCATGCAATCTACTGTTCTTTAAACATACCATCCATCAACTCCATCTGGAAGTCATTTGCATTTCCCTTCAGTTGTTTACGCATAACAGGAGTCTCCCAGGCGGGCTGCACTGTCAGCTTGTGCACATGGTGGTTCCTGGACATGGAGATAGTGAAAATCGAGCTTCCCCACACACACACAAGATGATGAAAAAAAAGCTGAGACAAACCTTTGATAACGGCATTCAATGTCCACATCGATCCGCTGCGCTCTAGTTGGGAAACGTTTTGGCGAAGGCTCATAATGGAGTGTGAATTTGTAGAGCAGATAACCGGGGGGCGACTGTCAAAGTCCAAGAGGGGTCAGACACTGTGATTTTAAGAGTATGCAGGGACAGAGACTGGAAACAAGTGACACAAATCTTACCTCCCGCACGGCTCCACACGCCGTCAGAGGGTACGTGAAGAGCAGGTCACCGTAGGGTCTGAGAACCCCGTTGCTTTTGCAGCCGCTGCCTAGTTTCAGCTCCTCTGCATTGGCACCCTGGCCGTAGAAAACTGGTTTGACCCGCAAGACAAAGTCAGCCGTGGAGCAGGTGACAGAAACGTCTTGCAGGTAAGCAAAGTCCGACTGGAGCTTTGCCTCTGGACGCATAGACGCGGAAATGAGTACAGACAATGGGGAAGAGATGGCAGGTAACCGGTGGGGGGGTTTTCTGTCGTCTGTCGTTAAATGTTTGATTGATTTGGATTGTTGCTGTTTAAAATGCTCTTTTCTTCTGGTGAATGGAGATTCATAAGTGTCCTGTGCGTAGCTGAGGATGCCAAGTGATAAAACACTCCATATTATATAGAGACTCCACTTTGTTTTCATCGCAACAGACTGCTGTCCTTCTACCTTTCCCTTCCCTTTCAATCTGCACGAGACGCTCAGCCACGGCTGGAGGTAATTAGGCGCGAGGATAAATCAGCAGCCTGCAGCACGCGAGGTTCAGCTTCATTTGGGTATTTCAGTCTTTAAAAGGAACTAGTGGAAGTTTCAATGTTTATTCGTGACTTAAAAACGTGTCTAACGACTGTAGTAGAGTGAGTTTTATTTTAGAAAGATGATTAATTAAAGGGAAATAGGGGAAATGTATTTAACTTTTGTTGTGCAGTGAAAACGGAAGAGGATAAGGGTACAGACAATGGGGAAGAGATGGCAGGTAACCGGTGGGGGGGGTTTAGATTTTTTTTATGGAGATCTGAACAAAAGTGAAAACTAATTTTAGTTCCGAGATTAAAGTCATAATTCTGAGAAATAAATCATATTTTTTTATATATATATAAAAAAAAAAACGTCTGGTCAGATTTAAACATTCACGTGGCCCTAATCCTCTTCCGGAGTGAACACAGGCCGGTTTTTATTTCTTTGAATTCCATGCAAAAAATGTTTTAAAATCTTTATGTAGTCTATGGTTTAAATGTACCAAATAATTGTTAGTCTCATTGAACAGCTTTTGTTAATTTAATTTTCAAAAAATACTTACTGTAAATATGTTGTAGGTCCTATTTATTGGCAGTTACATTGACATCTACTACATTAAATGTATGAACATTATTATCAATGGTTCAAAACTATGAAACTAAGGATTTTAGATTTGATCAATAGGCCAATCAGTTTCCTTTTTAAATATAGGTGAACAATTTAGTTAAATATTCTAGATTTTGACATTTCAAACACAGAAAGGTTTCTCTGTTTTTACAAACTTTATTTACAGACTTAAATTAAAAATGTACACCACATTTTTCATTGATTTATATATTGCTCAACAAGGTCAAACTTAGAGAAATGTATTTACATATTATACACACATCTGCAAATAACACTTTGGAGACGTAATGTGCTTCATTCACCTCTTTCAGAGCAATTTAGAATGAAAATTATAGATACAGAAATATATTAAGTTTCAAAGAGGTGTCTATGAAATCTTAATAATACCAGTAACACTGTAAAGGCAGTATGTTTATCACATTACAGCAACTTTTTCCATTTTCTTTTCTTAGAAAAAGAAATCCACCATTTTGATGTTTGATTTCAAGTTTTTTCCACAGGACATGAAAATCACTAACCACTCACGGTTCATAAATTATTATCAACATGTGCCTTCATAAGAAACAAAAAAAGAATCCCTTAAATATTTCATTCAAATAAATAGTTAAATAAATCATGGTTCCCTTCCCTTTGGGAGGGGAGAACATGCTGTATGACTTCATACTGGAGTGGACTACGATGTGAAAGCACATTCAGAAAGATCTAATAAACCAGAAGAGAAGAGATTGGCTGAAATGTGAAAGCACAGAAAAGGTTGAATGGGAAAAACTATTCTGTGAAGCAAAAACTAAAAAACCTGAGCAAGAATTTTAACATAAATCTCATTGCAACTAATAATTTAAGATGAAAATGTAAGGCAGTGATTCACACATACAGTATATCATACCCCAAGGTGCCTTTTCCCCTTCAGGAGATTCAAGTTTTTAACTTGAACTAACTCTACAAGGAACAACGGCACCAAATAAGAAGTATAAAATGTAGCACAGCTTCAGACGACTCCAGTTAGTGGGATAGTGCTGGTATACCCTTCATAACTAAGGGCTGAAAGTGTGTGTTTCCTTCAGAGCACGCTGTCTGAATGTAAAGGCAAACACAAGTGATCTAAGATGTTGTAAACATTAACGGTAACATCACACTCCAGTCTGCACGAGTGAAGGTCAGAGCATGTAAACCAGCAAATAAAGACTTCATAAACTACCATAGATCATAAGCTGTGTCCCAATTCTGACCAAGTATTTCAGTATGTAGTGCATTCACAGCAGAGGAGTGTAGTAACGGTGTTGTCTACAACTTGTGGAGGTAAAAAAATATTGTATAAAGGAACATCTCAGTACACAAAGTCACACTTCTTTGGAAACTCAGTTTGATTTCAGTCTGTTGAGTAAAACTCCACCATAGAAGGATTACAACTCCAATGAGTCACACTTATAAGAGCTGTAGTTATTGAATAAAAAACAAAAAAAGGGTTTCTCATAATAAATGATAATGATTTCACTGTGCAGTTCTTTAAAAGATGGACAGTGCTGTGTGTCAGTTAAACAATGTAAGAAACCCTTTAAATAGAAACAATTGTAACTTTAAGTTTTGGCAGATTTAATTCGGACACAACTGGAGATAAAGGACAACACAGGAGATGCCCCGGACCGGCCACTAGAGGGCGATGTAAACCTGTGTGGTCCCTGCAGGGAGCCTTAATGCTGAGCATGTTTGTGCAGCAGCTGTGGTCTGTGGTCTCTCTGTTAGTCCAGATAGTTGGTGGTCGTGTCCCTCGACAGTTTTGTGCAAATACGTTAAAGCAGCTGTGGTGTCTGGCCCTTCCGCTGTTGCTACACCTCACTCCCCAGCGCTGAAGTTTCAGACTCAGAGTCCCTGTTAAAGGATGCAAAAACACACAAGTTACCCACAAAGGACTTGGCTAGCTTGGACAGGGTGAATAAACAGCGGAGCTAAACAGTTTTTTAAAAAGGTTTCATTTAAATGTAGCTCAGGTTTACAGCATGGAACTCAATTTAGCGTCCATGTGGTTTGTTTACAGCGTGCAAAAACGTCTTCTTCTGTGTTTTGAGCACTTCTGTGTGCATTTCACTTACAGCCTTTCCTGCAGTAGCTTCTGGTTGCCCTGCCTCCTTTCTTCATCAATAGGATAGGTCCTCAATATCAAAAGTCCCACAGCTATAAGGGCCACAGGCACAGGAGAGACCAGCACCTTCAGGGTTAAACTGACCGCCTCAGGTTGTATACAGCTCCCGGTCACATAGCCCGCAAATCTGCGAAAAAATGTAGATAAAGAGAGAAATGTTGAGCTGATGTGAAAACAGTTGTGAAACACTGTTGGGGGAAGGATTATGGGATTGGCAACCACATGATCACCAGACTGATGAGCGCTAACATGGAGCTAATCTCTTTTAGTGTTGGAGACAGAAATCAGCTAGCTTTCAGGGGTGACGGTGAGGATTAAAATGTACGTGAGAATCATTCTACAGGTGTTGAACTCACTTTAAACTGAGCGTAGAGACACCCAGAGACATTCCCGAGGCAAATTTAATGAAGAACACGTAGAAGGAGTAGAAGAGGGCTTCGTGGCCGTGGATTTCTGGGTTTCTGACCTTGAAGTCGTCCACGACATCAGGAAGCATTGACCTGGAAAACACAACGTTTAGAGGGAAACTCGAGACAACAACATAAATCCATATCTGCGTATGGATGGTGTGGGTTTTGTAGTATAACTCGCGCTTACCAAGGCAGGAGGAACGCTGCCGCCACGCTCACACCTGCTGCCACGGAGACCAAGTAAGAAATGATCAGCTGGCTCTTGATGCAGACGATGAGGAGCATGAAGGGTACGGCCCACTATAGAAAAAGACAGGAGGATGTCAGCAAATACATACACTCACATCCTTTTTGAATGAATGTCTTTGTTGTGCCTAAAATAAGATGTTTTCTTGACTCACAGAGATGCCAAAGTAAACCGCCTTCTTCTTTCCAAAGCGGGTCAGAAACCACTGCCACCACGGGATGGTTAGAGTCCCTGATAGCTGGGAAAACAAAATATGGCACAGAATGATCAGTTTGGCTGTTTTATTCAATCTCATTACGAATGCTTGCAAAAATATGAAATGATGTACAACGTTGATTTTTAACAATAAAAACTACTAATATATCTGGAATTGTTCAGCCAGATGAAGCTGTTTATCGTTGTTGGATTAGCGTTATCAGGAAGAAAGATAAGAGGCATTTAAATCTCGAGGCCATACAGATTAGGTTGTTGTTTTTTATCTTGATTCAACTCAAATATATAGTTGGCTCTTCTCTGACATTGTTGCACATAATATAAACATGTTGTATGTTGCAGGAACACTTGGAGTCACAGTAATGATTGCCAATGTTTCACTCACTTGGTTATAATTGAGATAAGACGTGCCACTGAGGACACTGAGCTCATATATTTTGTATTGTGGTAGATGTTGAAGTTTTACTATGTTACTGTCAAGTGTGGGAATATGGCTTTTTGTAGTTGTAGTCATAAATACTATATTTAAACCAGAAATATACATATAATAATAGTGTACCAAAACGTGTCAATGTCTTTGTTTAAAAAGGGGCCTAATTGTTTTGTAATATTAACATACAACATAACACCTTGAGAAATCTGTGTGTAAATCATGAAATAGTAAACATATTGGTGGATTTATCGGTCTACAAAAACAATTATTATCCAAAAAACAGAGCTCCATGTTGGACTTGCAGTGCTATAAGACGTGCTAAAAAACCTAGCTGCAGTTCTGGGCACGATGGATTAATGCTAACATTAATTTAGCATTAAAATCAATCAAATGTTGAACCTGGCTTCATTAAAAGTATAGAAAATGTGGGAACTGGAAAGAATAATGTGACCATGGGAGGATTAGGACAATGGCACAATATGCTTTGTGTGTTCTTGACTTAACCCTGCAGGAAAACCTTTGACCTCCAGGTTAAACTTGGTCAACCGCTGTTAAATGACCACACAAGAACAAGCTTAGCACTGGGAAACATTAACTGCGAGCGAATACAATGGAAAATATGTCCTTTCGCCCCCTAAACTCCCATCTCTCCGAATATGATACATGGTGCCCAAAAATGTTTCCACTCCTAATCAGAGGGAAGGCAGCAGAGCAGAAAGCAGCGAGAGAAGGTCGCAACCAATGGTGGCCGTTCCCATGGTGGGAGTGAGGGATCGCCAGGGCAACAAAAGCCCCACTGTGGGCCTGTCTCTCCCTTGATGTCCTGCTAACGCCAGGCGAGTGTGTGACAGGGAGACAGGTTCCCAGGAGCCCAAACAACACCTCCTCTCACCCTGAAAATC